AAACAAAACAAAAAGTAAAGCCACAGATACGGTTAATTCTAGAGGAAAACAATTGCTTTTACGCCCCTTTTTGTATACTGTCTTTACTCTTGTAATGGCTCTAGTCATCTTTCTGTGTAGGTCATTAGAAAATCTTAACGCCCCGCAAACTAGATATTTTAACTTAATTATGCTTTATACAATCCAATATAAATCTTCCCATTGTTTTTCATGCTCTGGCCTTGATTTAATTATTGTAAGTTTAAAAATTACACAGTCCTATCACAGTATTCCTTCAGAGAAACATAAAACAGACACACACTCCAGGAGAAAGAGTAAACTTTTGGGCCATAGTTGGAGGGTCGGCTGGCCTTCTGCCCCTTGAGACTTCCTGCAGGTGACTCACTTGGGGCCTGCCACTCAAAGCTCAGACCCTCTGTTTCCTTCTTTGGAAAAAAAAAAAAAGGAGGCTGCTTGGAATTTTCCCTAAAACTTTGGGTTCTAAGCTTGGGGTGGGAGTCATTTCATCTAAAAAGGAAGAATTTGAATATGCAAAGACAGCTGCTGTTAATTCTTTAAAATTAAAACACTGAAGCTATATGCTTAAGTTTGACTGGATTGAAACTGTTTGAAAAGGAAACAAAACTCACAGTCTAAAGATAAATCCCCTAATTGTAATGATGCACTCAGAATGTATCAAATGTCATGCTGATGCAGGGAAACAAGGACAACAAAATAAGACACCCAGAAAAATCTCTTCCCCTTACTGTGTGGGCTTGAAGAATAAACATGAACCTCAAAGTTACTTTTCAACACGCAAAGCAGGTCTGCGCGGTACTCTCCTGGGCTCTCTGCAGGCTGCACAGATGGCTTACTGGCCTTGGCCCTATAGCACAGAACAGCACTGCGAGGGAACTTTCAGAGCTGAAGTGAAAAACATGTGTTCAGAGAGGGACTTAAAGAAGCACAGCGACGGGGTCTGATACTTACTTGTGGCCCAGCTCGTGAGCGATGGTAAAGGCCAGATTGAGACCATTGTCTTCGGCAAGCACACATTTCCTCCTAGCACTGCACACACCTCCTAAGTAAGCAATTCCTGCAGCAGAGACACAAAACACATCCTCTTCAGAACGTGAGGTGCCCTGACCTCCCGGGCAAGTGCTCTCGGTCAGAATCACGCATGATTTCAGGAAGGGCCAGTGGGGACATTGGTGCTTATGGAGCTGGACCTGCAAGTCCAGAGCTCATGTGAGATCAGTGTGCAATCACTTTTGGATGCACCTAATGCTAATAGTAATCATAAACATTCATCCAGCACTCAGGATGCATCAGGCCATGTGCTGAATGGTTTACACACCACCTAATTTAATCCTCATTACTCAGGATGAGGGAAACTGAGGTTCAGAAAGGAAAGGGAGCTTTCCCAAGTTAACCTGGGTCTGCCAGATTCCAGTGCCACCTCAGCACCCAGGGCTGACAGCAGGGGACGTGAGTGCCCCATGTGCCAAGTTTAAAGGGGCGTTCTCTTGGGGGTTGACCCTACATCTGCACACCCCGAGAAGGAAAGCTTCCTTAAAGATTGCACCCTGGGTACCTCATGCCCACCCCAGAGCTGGCCCTGTAAGGGTGGGCGCTGCTCTCAGATGCTCTTGGGGTGTGAGCTTGGATCCTGGCTGGGAAGTACAGGCCAGGGAGGGCTGTGCAGCACCCTCCACAGAGACAGCGAGCTGGAGCCAGGGAAGAGAACGATGGGAGAGCGAGGGTCTTCGAGCCGCTGCTGACCCGCAAACCAGCCTACTCATGCCCATGTGTGCTTGCACCTGCGGCGCCTGCCTGCACCAGGAAGACCATGCACACAGTGGGAAGAAGAAATGCAGCAAAGGGCAGGGATGTGAGCCAGAGGAGCGGAGGCACTGGCAGGAGGTGGCAGCCAGGGATGGAGAGGGGTGGGAGTTTTCCAGGGCAGAAATTGCTTCTAGCAGAGAAATGAGTATGGACAGCAGGGCCATCGGAGGGATGACAGGCACAGGGGCGGGGGAGAATCCCCACTGGCCACGCTTCTGGAGGCTGGCTCTCCAGGGCACCCCACTGCTCACAGCAGCTCTTTATTCTTCCTCTGTCGCTGTGCTCCGGGCAGACATCCCTCACCATGGCCCCAGGACCCCAGGACACCTCACCTCTGTCCTCCCTTGCTAATGGGGTCTACCCTTCTGTGAGCCTCCACTGAGTAACCCTTCTGAGATACACACACCCTAGGTGGGGCACGGCTACAGGCCTACGAGGTCCCACTAGATGTAGCTCTACCAGCAGTCTGCAGCACAGCAGCAGCTAACAAGCAGATGAAGGCGAAACCCAGCTGGGCTCTGCTCACCAGCTCTGTGCCACAGATGGGCCATGGCCACCAAGAAAGGGGAGAAATGTTTCGCAATGCAGGCACTGTCCACCTGCCAAGCTGCACATGCCCCAACCTGAAGGCCCCTGCCACTAACTGTCTCAGAAGGAAAGGAACTGATAAAGAGGCAGGGAGAACAGTACGCAGGAAGTACAACATTATAAAGCACCTTTCCTCCCTGCTCCCAAAGACCTAAACCAATGTCCTTTTTGTTGACATCAAAATCCAACTAGTCCCCCAAGCATGAAGCCAGCTCCTGGTACTGCTTTTCTGCAACTGCCATTTGCTACAGATGGCCATTCTTAACTTTGTTCAGGGGAGCAACAGAGGGAGAATGCCAGCTGAGTGGGTTCCATAAAAATAAAAATCTGGGCCAGGGTGTAGCTCTTGTGGTACAGCACTTGCCTAGCATGTGTGAGATGTGTGAGGCCCGAGGCTGCATCTGCAGTATAACAAAAACAAAACAAAAAACCATACAGAGCTCATCCACAGCCAAGGCACATGTTCCATCAAGTGCAGAAGATCTGGTTCTAGAGCTATGAGCAGGCAACTCGGCTTACAGATTACATGCCATGCTGAGCCCAGGCACTGTAACACTGTCTGTTGTTATTTGTAAACATGCAACATGAGTGGCCAAGAGAAAGAAACAAAAAAGAAGAGGAGGTGACAGAAGGGAAAAACAGGAAGAGGGAAAACAGGAAGAAGAAAAGGAGGAGGAAGCATCAGTAGCAAACAAAAGAATAAAAAAAAAAAATCAAATTGTTATTTGGCTTCAAGACAATTTTATTTGCACGTAGATACCATAACCCATCGATGCAGATTTTTGGAAGGAAAATAAAAATGAGAGTGAGAAAGGATGAAGTATGCCTCCTCAGTGCCTGCAAGGTCACTCCCCTGGTTTGGTTTAAACATGCTTTGTGGATTGCTGCTGAAAGCCCACCAGTGAGTAGGTGGAACGCCGCTACACAGTCCTGACTGTATGCACACACACGCACACACACCCACAGTGCCTGCCCAGCCCAGGCCACTGCCTCCGGGTCAATGAATCAATTAGAAACAATCAGCTGTGCACACTCTGGAGAAGCCTGTGCAGAGGAGGGGAGGGAGACATCAGAAGGTCAGATGTGCTGATCTGGCTGTCCTGAGGATGCCTGTCCTGGGCTCTGCTGCTGAACCAGCAGACTTTAAATGCCACACAAACAGCTCCCCAGGCTGGCAGCTCCCTACACCAAAGCAGGAAGACCTGACTTTCCACTCTGATTAGGTAGGGAAATAGCGGTCTTCTGATAATTGCATTTTAATTTGCCCAAGGTGCAGTATGATTTTTTCAAACTAGAAAACAATGTTTATTTACAAATATCACTCTTGCACAAATGGCTCCTTCTTTTTAACAACTGATTACCATGGTGAGCAGCCTACTCATAAAACCAAGCAAGGGAAACTACATAAGTGAAAACGGCCCCTGATAACAGAGCACAAGAACTGTGTGAGTTTACAAACAATGATGTGGAAACACTTGGAATGTGCAAGAAAGTCTGGAGAAAATCCCAGGTTGCTGAAAAATTAAGAGCTGCAGGGGAGGTAATCAAGCCACGGAGCTTCAGCGGAAAACAAAGCCCACAAGTACTGAATGTTTTGATAAACAGCAGTCTGGAGAGGAGGGAGAAGTCAAGACCTCCATGTGTTAAAGACTCGGCCAACAGAGCAGCACCACGGGGGGTGGGGGGAGCCTGTAGGAGGTGGGGTCTGGGGCCAGGGATTTAGCTCAGTGGTGCTATGCCTGCCTTGCAAGCACAAGGTCCTGAGCTCTATCCTCCGTACCAGAAAAAACAAAGAGGTGGGGTCTAGTGGGATGAAGGTAGTCTTCTGGCCTTGAATGGGCCTTGTGGGACTATGGTTGCTTCCTCTTCCTGTTTCACTCCCTGGCTGTGCAGTAAGCAGTCTGCTCTGCTACACACTCCCCACCCATGCCATTTGATACCCTTACTAGAAGCCTAAAAACACAGTGTGTCCACCTGACTGGGACTGGAAGCTCTAACATTACGAACCCAAACAAACCTTTTCTTTTTCTAAGTTGGTTATCTGTTATAGTGATGGAAAGCTAAAGAAATCAAATCGGAAATAGCCACCAAATCTCATACCAGTGGTTGTTAAAAAAAAAAAAAAAAAAGAAAATCTAGTTTTTTTTGCAAAGATTAGAAAAGCTCACAAGTTCTGACAAAATTAGTGCTGAGGCCCAGAGTTATAGACCTTTCCAATATACTGTAGTCCTCTGTCAATGTGGGTTTTTTAGGACCCACAATGGTGCTTTCTATGGCTTAGGCTTCTGTGATTTAAGTGTTTAAAAACATTAATTACACATTTTGGCATAGCTCCTTGGGACAAAGGGGAAGCAGAAAGTCAAGTGGCATTTGCTGGCTATGATTTAGCATAGGCAAGATTGCTTTTTGCTCTCTTAATAGACAGATATTACAAGTCTTATGTTACAGATAGGGAAAATGAGGCCTGGTGGCCAGCTACATGGTTAATCAGCACCCAAATGATGATAAAAATTCAGGGCTCTCCTCCAACACCCACATTCCTCTATGCAAACCTGGTGTCTCCCTCACCAAAGCTTGGTAACCAACAACAATGAGTAACTGTCGAGGATTTAGAAGACCTTCATAAATCTTAATGCCTGCTTACGTAGAGAGGCGGGTGAAACAAAGTGAAGATTTCAGGTGTTGGTCCAAATCTTTCTAAGCCTAGAGATCAGAAGATTAGAACATTTATATAATATCAACAGTAGTTACCTCTATGATGTGGGGAAGGACTTAGAGGTATTTCTGGGGTTTTTTTGCTTTTTGGTACCGGGGATTGAACTCGGGTCCTTGCGCTTGCACGGCAGGCCACCGAACTGCGGAGCTAAATCCCCGGCCCTAACTTAGAGGTATTTCTAATTTTCTCTTTTCATTATGAAGTCAAATTAAATTAATTATATTAGGCTTAAACTTAGTACAGTTAATATGCACATTGCTATGAAAATTACTGATGTTCCATTTACCTAAGGTGGTACACAACAGTCAAGGAGGTGAGAGACCAAAGCCAAAGAAAAAAGCCCTCTGGATTGTCACTCTCAGTGTGCAGTCCTTCAGGCAGCGGGTGACACAGGATGTTCATAGTCAACAAATAAATAACCAAACTGTGCTTGTGGCCTAAGCGGTGGTGGGTCCCCCTCTACTGCATCTCTGGCACCAACCAGGAAAGCAAAATACACTTTTTGAAATGTAAAATGTGGAGGGCAGGATCGGAGAGCCATGCTGGGTTGCTCTGACACCGGAGGAAGTGTATCTCATTGCACCAGAGCCACCAACTTGCCTGCCCAGCCTTACCAACCAAACAAAAATCCTCTCTTTTCTCCCTCTCTTCTTGTTCTCTGTAGGAGAAAATTTTGGAGGAGAGATTAGGTGAGAACACTTAATTATTTTTTTTCAGTAAAAAACTGAACAGTATACACTTTAAATTCATAAACTCCCAGCCAACCATTTGATCCTCTTTAAAGAGTAAACACCACCCAGCTGTATAAACTTGGGCTTATCCAATAAATCACTGTGTGCAACAGCTTGCAGCTGTTGGCTTTGTTGCCCATTTGTCAGACTTGCACAGGATCTGTCCACCTTTAAGTGAGATGGTCAAGTTTCTCCTGCCCACTGTTCAAGGCCCCA